CATCATCTTCTCGGTGATGGCATTGTTGAGGCAGGATTTTGATGAACTGCAGGAGTTGGTCAGTTTTTTCATTTTGTCGACAAGCTTCTGTCGGTAGGTGTATTTTCCCTGTAACCAGGAGTCGGTGCAGAATATTGGTCCTACCTTTTTACAGGTCATGGTCACATTGAAAAAGTTAGCTGCCAACATATCTCTCATTAATAATGGGTGGCGGGAATGTCAATTTGCACTTGACAGCATAAAATTAATAACGTAACTTAAATTACATCATTTAAATTATTAAAAAATAAATTTTATATTATTTAATAATTATTTTTTATTTTTTAATTTATAATATTATATATAAACTAATTTAATATTATGGTATAAGTTTCAAATTTCTATCTTAAATTTTTGTCCTTCTTATTGTTACTCTTACTTAATTAAATTAATGTATGCGAAATTATTATTAAAATTAACATTAAAATTTTAAAAATTTTATGTAATTTAATAATTAAAAAAATATTAAACACATATTTAACGTCTACCTATATGTATATCTAGTGGAAATCTGGATGCTTCGTAGAAACTTGCCATCTAACCTCATTGATGATTTCATCTCTAACACCAAAACCTAAAGGTTGTACATTATTTCTTGACGCTTTTCATCATCTAAGATCGGATAGAAAATTTGAGAAAAGGGACAAATAAAACTGTCCAAATAGGAATTTGGACCTTTATATGATGAATTAATATATTTGATGCACATTGTTAGCTTATCAGAGCTGCTAGAGTGTGAAACAGAAATTTATTCAAAGGAAATATGATTGGTGTGTTAAATGCACATTAATGATTTTATAAAGTGAATTTATAAAGGTAAAATACAAGGATATATGTATTATATTTTTTATTATTTTTACATTAAAAAATTTAAAAATAATTTTAATTTTATAAACCATCTAATTAACCGCATGCATGTAACATTAATAATAAAAATTAGGTTAATCTTAATTTTTTTATAAAAATTTAAAGGGAAGAAGGCAAATTATAACATCAGACGTCTAATAATAATCGTATAATAAATTTGATAAAGTTAAGATCCACACTATACCCCATATATTTAATTGTTGTAATTACATTCCAATATTTTTAATATCAATACGTCTTAATTTTTTTTCAAAATTAAATGTAAAAAAATATAATTAATACATTATTTTTTTTTTTGAAAGGCAAAAAAAACTTTTATTTTGAGTACAAGGGGTACTCTACCCATTTACATAAGATTTAAAGTGCCTAAGAACCTATGCACTTAAGCACTCACATTACATAGATGGGGATTGAGGAGCCAATCAGAGAAACTGTACCTCAAAACCTTCCCTCTGTTTGTCAGCCAGTGAAAGGACCTTACTTGGACTAAATCGAACAACTTGTTTTTGTCCACAATTTTATTGTTGAACAAGACCTCATTACGAGTAAGCCATATAGTCCATACCAAGGCAAACCACACCACTTCCCAACCGACCCTCATTCGTTTGGACACTGCAATACCCTCATGTTGCCTAAAACCATCCCATACATTACTAGCCAACACAGCTTGAACAGCCCACCAATTCAAGCATCTATTCCATATTTCGGTAGTGATTTTACAAGAGAGAAATAAGTGATCGCAATCTTCCATATACTCTTTGCAAAGGCTGCACATGACTTCAGCCGGATCCTTGATGATACCTTTCTTGAATAAATTGGTTTTAGTAGGTATTCTATTTAAAAGAAGTTGCCAACTAAAGCCACACACCTTTGAAGGGGCATTTGGATTCCATACTCTTCCAAAGACATGTTTCTGGCTCTGTTCTTGTGAGGCAGCGAGATTTGCATACCCTGTACTTGTTGTGTAGCTACCATCCATGCTAAACTTCCAATCCCACTTATCCTTTCGTCCTTGGTGTAATTTAGTTGCTTCCAGCATCTTCTCTAGTTCCTTTCTTGCTTGGGATTCTCTGTCCAGCAACACACGCCTCCATGGAAACATCCATCTCCATTTATCCTCGATCCAGACTCCCATTTGCTTTATCTTATAGTCCATACCTGCAGAAAGCATATAAAGCCTTGGAAATTTGTGAGCTAAGGCCCCATCCTTACACCATGAGTCCCACCAGAAACTTATTCCATCTCCATCTCCTACTATAATCTCGAAACCATTAGATAACCACCCATTTCTATTGTCTCCCAATACATCTATCCTGCAAACATCCTTCCACCAACTAGAGCCCTCCCCTCTACCATTCTTAACCCATGACAACCAACTATCATTCCCAGTGCCATATTTTTCCTTAATTAGCCTACTCCACAACCCCTCCTCCCCTTTAGCGAGCTTCCCCCACCATTTACCAAGAAGAGCAAGATTAAAAGCCCTAATACTCTTCACGCCCAACCCCCCTTCATGTTTACCCTTACAGACCTTTTCCCAGTTGACCCAGTGCACTTTCCTAGTATCCTCACACCCACCCCATAGAAAATCCCTCCTGATTTTTTCAATAGATCTCACAACATTTTTTGGTGCAAGGAAAACGGACAGTAAGAAAACAGGCAATGACGTAAGAACAGAGTTTAGCAGCGTTATTCTACCTCCAAACGATAACCATTTCCCTTTCCAACCTGCCAGCTTCTT